GGGGGGGGCGCCCGAGCAGGACATCGTCGGCCTGCCACGGGGCCTCCGCCCGGTGGAGCATGGCCCGGCGCCGCCCTATCGATCGGGCAACCGCTCGGGCACGGCTGACCAGATGTGGCCTGCTGCTGGTGCTGACGTGGGTGTTACCTTTGCCCGCGCCGCCCGGCCCTCGGCCACCCCTTCCTACGGTGCTTCGTTTGTGGGGAGCGAGCGAGGCGGGAAGAAAGCCACTGCCCTGCTCCTCGGACAAGGTGGCACCACACCGCCCAAGCTCCCACCATTTTGGGACTTTTCTGCACGCCTGCCCATTGTGGGGTCAAAACACACGGCTCACGAGGGCACAGGTGCAGGCTCACTCGCGGCGACACGCCGAAACACACAAACAATCGTAATGCCCGGCAGGGCACATCTTCAGACGTCGTGTAACGTGCCTTGGTCCTTCCCATGTCACCTGGCTCTTGCTCGTCCGTTGTTGACTGATCGCACGCTCGCCTCGCTCATGTTCCTCCTGCGGGGAGGGGCTCCATGGACTGGGCCACATCCCACCTCAGGAGGTTGATATCAGCCCTGTTGCGCCACCAGGGCCGCGCGGTCGCGCACACGCATGCCCTGGGAAGCCTCACCTCTAGCAAGCTGAGATCGCTTCCTCGGTGGGCCTGGGCGAGCGAAAGGCAGCTGGATCATGACAAAGAGGTGCTACTCCCTCGCCGCCGCCCCCTCCCCCGCCCCCTCCCCCGGTGTGAAGGCCCCACAGGTGGCGGAACAGGGACATCGTGATAACGCGAGACCCAGACATCCCCGGGCACAATTTTCCACTTTCCACCTTTTCTCAGGAAACGCCCGGACACGCATTTACCCAATGAGTAGGGACCCCATCTAAGGCGCGACGGGGCGGGGGGCCTGCGCAGGCAAGAGAGGGACCCTTGTCCCCCGTATCTCTCAAGTAACTAACCATATAAGACTCTATGTGAGAGATGTACATGTCTGACTGCGGTGACAGGGGGCCCCTGTACAGGGGGGCCCCGTCCGCGGACACCGCCAGGATCATGTCCCCCTGCCCTTGCTCCCTCCCCCTCCCCAGCCCCTCCTCCTCTCCCTCCGCACAAATACAGACACACACAGACAAAGACACACACAGACAAAGACACACACACACACACACACACACACACACACACACACGCGCGCGCGCGCGCGCGCGCGCGCGCGCGGACAGACACCGTGTACCAGAACGCCCCAGGGACGGAGGGCCCGCACGAACGACCGACCCTCTGAAGAAGAGCCCCACCTGTCGCGAGCGGCAGTGAAAGTTGCCCCACGCCAGCCCGCCCACGCCATGAGACCCTTCGCCCCCATGGGCTGGAGAGAAAAAGACTCGGCGGGGCCTGAGAACATTTTAACACCCAAGAAACACACTCACGACTGGAGAGAGAAAGAGAGAGAGACAGAAAGGGAGAGCCCCCAAGCCCAAAGTGCCACATATTCAGTTGTGGGTTATGACTGGGCGCGTGATTGGATCGCGTGACTTGGGGTAGTAGAACCATTGCCCAGAACATGGCCCTCAAGAGGGGGCAGAACACCAAGGCTGATGCAATATGAAATCTATATTGGTGTCTTGTGGGGGGGGTGAAGGCCCCAAATCGGAAGGAGGAAGAAGAGGAAGAGGAGAACCCTCGCCAATGCCACAGAGCACCACATGAGGCCTGTGGGAATGGCAAGAGAGGGGGCATACAAGCTACACACACACACACACACACACACAGTCCCTGCTCCGGGCACAAGATGAGGAGTACCCCCCACCAACGAGGCAGACGTGCTCGGCAACCTGTGACATGGCCATGCCGACGTGCAAACAACATCGCTACACCAATTGGCCAGCAGTGGCAGCAGTGGTCTCACAGGGATAGGCGCGGCCTCTCCTACTCGCGAGGCGAGCGGGGCTGCGCGTTGCCGCGGGCCCGCTTGGTACTGCCAGGCTTGCTGGTGATGGTGGCGGATGCCGGGGATGCGCGCTTCACTGGCGACGCAGGGAGCTTCACCGGCAACGAGGCCGTAGCAGCGGCTGGGGCATCAGTGTCCCGGCTGCCCGCAGCAGTGACCGTCACCACCGGGCTCAGGCCAAAGACCAACTTTTGCTGAACCATACGCTGGGGAGACCCGGCATCAGTGCCACCCGACGGCGCAGACCCGCCGGCAGCCGAGCGCGAAGGCGTCGATGGGGCCGACGACCCGGGCACCCGGGGCAGCGTCACCGTCAGCGAGGGAGCCCGGCCGGCGGCAGTCGAGCTGGACTCCCCGCCAACCGACCGGCCAACCACCAGTGTTGTCTGGATGGGGCCGCCGCCGGCTGCGGTGGTCGACGCCGCCGCCGCCGCCGCCGCCACGCCACGTCGAGCGGAGGAGGCGCGCGCCGCGCGAGACGCCCGCGCCGCACGCGCTGGAGATCCGGGAGCCGCCGCCGCCGCCGCCGACGCTGCCGTCGTGGAGGCCTTGGCCTTTGCCAGGTCCTTGGCCTTGGCGATCTTCGCCTTGGCAGCCTCCTTGGCCTTGAGCTCACGCGCCTTGGCAACCTCCTTGGCCTTCTGCTGACGCGCCTTGGCAGCCTCCTTGGCCTTGCGCTCGCGCTCCTTCTGCAATTTGGCCTTCGCCGCCTCCTTGGCCTTGGCCTCCTTGGCCTTGGCGGCCTCGCGGGCCTTCTGCTCGCGTGCGCGAACCGCCTCACGCGCGGCCTTCTCCTTGGCCGCCTTGGCGGCCTTGGCCGTGCGTTCCTTGGCTTGGGTCTCGGCAGCGGCCTCGCGACGCCGGGCCGCCGCAGCCTTGGCCCGCTCAGCTCGAGCGGCGATGGCCGCCAGCTCCCGGGCGATGGCCTCACGCGCGGCCCCGCGCGAGGAAGCTGCCGCCCGCTCATGCAGAGCCCACACGGCTACCAGGTCCGGTGCCGACAGGCCAGACAGAACCACACCCAGAGTCCCGGCATTGCCGAAGTTTGGAGCTCCAGCCGCGAAAGCACTGGTGGCAGCCGCGGCCACGGCCGCTCGCGCACCAGCCCGACTCAGCGACACCGGGATGGCCGGCAGGGGGGGAGCTGCCGCGGCCAAATCCCGGCGGACGATGTTTCGCAATAGACGACCAGCCTCTCGCCGGGCCGGGCACACTAGCCCACGCACCGGCAGCCGACGCAACGCCCGCCGGGTGTAGAGATCCCCACCACCCGGGGTTTGGCCATAGCCAAGCATGCTCCGCGTCAGGGGATCAGCCGGGGCCGGGGCCAGGTCAACTTGGCCCATGCCAGCGCGCGACCCCCAACCCGGCCAGGTGGCGTCTTCGTCGAGCTCGCGACGCCGGAGCTCGGCGGCGGCGGCCTCGGCCTCGCGCGCCGCTGTGGCGGCCGCCTCGGCCGCCGCCGCTCGAGCCGCCGCGGAGTACGCCTCCACGGCGGCCTGGCGCTCGCGGATGGACGCCAAACGGGCAGAGCGCTTGACTTCCACAAAGCCGACCACCTCGCCGGAGGCCGAGTGCGCCACCGACATCGCAGTGCCCGATCCGAGCCCGGCCACGGTCTCGGTGCTGTCCCGCGCCACGCGGGCCAGCACCCGCTCCCGGTTCTCCAGGCTGTTGACAATCGCGGCGAACAGCGGCGACTCAAATACCCGATCCAGCGCCGGGCGCAACTTGTCGGCCGACACGTACGGCACCGCGGCCTGGAGGAGGGCCGCATCCTCGTCGTCGCCCTCCGACTCATCACTGTCATCATCGTCGTCATCCTCATTCTCATCGTCATCCTCACCCTCGGCATCCTCATCGTCATCGGTGTCGGCCTCCGGGGCGTCATGGCCATCATCGTCCGACTGGGCCGCGGCATCAGTTCCCTCCTCGTCGGAGGCCACCTCGGCATCCGACCCATCGGCATCGGCCTCGGCATCCGAGTCATCGGACCCGGACTCATCGCCGTCCTCGCTGCCCTCCTCGTCGGAGTCATCCTCCTCGTCGGCTGAGACCGGGCAAATGAGCGACGGCAGGGCCACAAAGGCGTCCCGATCCAAGGCCACTGGCTCCCAAGTCTCGGAGCAGGGCTCCGCCGGCCAGGAGGTGAAGACATCGCGCGATGTGGACCGGATCGTGCGGTCCCCGGGTGCGGTGGTCATAGGAGCCTCCAGCAAAGGCGGGGGCTGGCCATAAGAGTGCCGGAATACGCGAGTGTCTGTTCAGGGAGATTGGGTGAGTACCAGAGAGGGAGAGAGAGAGGGGCGGAGGGGACAGGCCGAAGACAGGGGAAATCAAAGAGGAGACAGCGAGGAGAGGGGGGGGGAAGGGGACCACAGAAACACACCATCAAACATGTAATACGAGTTCCAGTCGCTGTCAACGGCAAAAGGCTCGATGCGCTGTGTCCCGGTAAGTAACGGTCCATGCCATCGAGGGGAGGAGAGCCATGCCGGCATGTGTGCCGGAGATGAATGGACGTACCCAATCCGGCTCATCGTCCAAATTCGGTGCCAGGTCGACATTGGAGGAGGAAGTGGACGCGTGCGACGCAATGGCCGTTGTGATGGCGGACGCCCGTGTGCGTAGATAGTCGGGCCGGGTCAGCTGCGCCTCACATAGGGCGTGGAAGATGGCCAACTGCATTGCGACGCAAATGCACGAGGGGAGGGAATGGTCAGGGCAAGGGGCCGGTCAGAGAAAGACACCCGAGGGCAAGAACGCACGCGCTCAAGTGGCTCCAGGCTCCAGAGGCCCTTCCCACAGCCAGGAGACGAGTTTAGCACGTCATTCCGAGACTCGGCGGTGAAATCCTTAAAGGACGCCTCCAGCAGGTTGGCCAGGTCCAAAGCATGCGGCCGGCCGGTGGACAGATTGATACTCGCGGCCTCGGCAATGCACGCCTCCTGCTCTTGGCCGAAGAGCTCCAGCGAGGCATGAAGCGCAGCCTGCCAAATGGGGACATGCTCCGGATAGCGATCCGGCAATCTGAGGGGGATAGATCGGCGGATTCCGGGAGGACGGGCAAAGGGGGGAGGGGGGAGGTGAGGATTTCCGGCGAAGGGCAAAGACCGAAGCCGGCAAAATGACAGACGTACGCAAACCGTCCAGGAATGGCCGACCCCGGGAAGAGGGGAGGGCGCGGCAGGTGGCGCAAGAGACGCTGCGCCGCAATGCGAAGAGCCACACTGGGCGAGGAACCAGCCGGCTTGGAAAGCTCACGCTCAAGGGCCTAAGAGAGTGGGGCGGGGCGGGGCGGCGTTGAGGTGGAGGTGGGGGGGGTAAGTGACCGTGGGTCTGGAGCTGACGAGGGGGCGGGGCATCGGGGATGTCATACCTCAGTGGCGATCTCCGGCACGCCGAGGCCCAAGCCGAAGAGGCTTAGGAATTGACTTACGGCGGAAAAGCGCCAGTCATTACGCAGGAGGGTGATTGTGTCTGCGTCTGAAGGGTGAGTGTCGGAAGGCAGGGAGATGTGCCAACATCGGGGGGGGG